GACCACTTCTTTTCTTTTTTTTCGTTCAACCTCCCAGGTGAGCAAGAAAACATGATTATTGTATGTCCTGCCTAAGTCAGCCTTTAGTAGTAAGGTTGATTCAAATTTACAGCTCCCACTTCTGGTTAATCTACAAACCTTTATAGTTAATGTAATAACAAACATAATAATAATAATATGGAAGACCTGATGGTCTCCCTCAAACACCAGAAGGAACATTTTAGACAAATGTGACTTATTGGATATAGTTACAAAGTTACATAGTTAGTCTGGCTGAAAATAGACAAAAGTCCATCCAGTTCAACCATTAAAAAAAAAAAAAAGTTATAATCCTACACCCACAGTTGACCCAGAGGAAGGCAAAAAAACCCCCCAGCAAAGTATGATCCAATTTGATCCTGCAGGGGAAAATTCCTTCCTGATCCCCCGAGAGGCAATCAGATATTCCCTGGATCAACGTTACCTATAAATATTAGTATCCAGTTATATTCTGTGTATCTAAGAAAGAATCCAGGACTTTTTTAAAGCAATCCACTGAGCTGGCCAGAAATAACTCTTGAGGGTGTCTATTCCACATTTTTACAACTCTTACTGTGAAGAAACCTTTCCGTGTTTGGAGATTAAATTTCTTTTCCTCCAGAAGCAAAGAGTGCCCCCTTGTCCTCTGTGATGACCTCAGGGTGAATAGCTCTACACCGAGTTCACTGTATGAACCACTGATGTATTTATACATGGAGATCATATCCCCCCTTATGTATTATACATGTTGATCATATCCCCCCTTAATTTCCTCTTCTCAAGGGAGAATAAATTCAGTTCCTCTAATCTTTCCTCATAGCTGATCTCCTCCATGCCTCGTATCAGTTTGATTGCCCTTCTCTGTACTTTCTCCAGTTCCATGTTCTTTTTGTGAATTGGTGCCCAAAACTGAGCTGCATATTCCAGATGAGGTCTTACTAATGATTTGTATCGGGGTAATATGATATCTCTCTCTCTGGAGTCTATACCTCTTTTAATACAAGAGAGGATTTTGCTCTCTTTAGAAACCGCAGCTTGGCATTGCATGCCATTATTAAGCTTGTGATCTACCAGAACCCCCAGATCCTTCTCCAGCATTGATTCCCCCAGTTGTACCTCCCCTAGTATGTATGATGCATGCATATTCTTAGCCCCCAAATGCAGAACCTTACATTTATCAACATTAATCCTCATTTGCCACATAGGTGCCCAATTAAACAGAGCATTGAGGTCGGCTTGTAAATTGGAGACATCCTGTAAGGACGTTATTCCACTGCACAGCTTGGTGTCATCTGCAAAGACTGAAATGGGATTTATAATCTCAGACCCTATATCGTTTATAAATATATTAAAAAGTAAGGGTCCCAACACTGACCCCTGGGGTACACCACTGACAACCCTAGACCATTTAGGGTATGAATCTTTAACCACTACTCTCTGAATATGATCTTTTAGCCAGTTTTCTATTCATTTACATACAGATTTTTCCAAGCCTGTAGACTTTACCTTACCCATTAGCTGTGTATGCGGAACTGTGTCAAACGCTTTTGCAAAATCCAAGTATACCACTTCCACTGCCACCCTTCTTGTTCCCAAGAATACTAAAACATTCTTTCCAGAGGTTCATTACCCCTCATTCTTGAACATTCATAGGCGCCCCAACCCAGAGCACCCACTTCTCCTTCCCTTTTACTTTTCACTTATTTCCATCCCTCTTTTCCCATTTTATCCTTCCCAGTCTGGCCCCTCTCCTATGCTTTATCTTTTGCTCTTGTTCTTTTTAAGCCTATGTGCTACTACACTTGCCTCTTAGATGTGTATAAAATCAGAAAACAAGGTCAAAGATGGTAGCACTGACTCAAAGTTGTCTTCTACATGTAGAGATGACACACATCACCAGGGGCAGGAGGGGAAGCTGCCCCGGGCACAGTTTTTTGTTTGTGTGAAGGGGGCCTGTGATGCAGCAGCAGCCCATAGAGTACATTCAACTGAGCTGAGAGCCTAACCTCAACCCTTCCATCCATTATCTACCTTCCCTGCCCCCGGGGGGGGGGGGGGGGGGGGTGGTGGTGAGGTCCATTGTCTACACCAGAAACAAACTTAAGGGGTGCAGGGGTTCATACCGGGTATCGACACTCTGGGGGTGCCAGCTAGCTGCCTGTTTTCTGATGCAGCTGTCAGACAGGCAGAGATAGCACTGTAGCACTAGTAGTATGGATTCCAGTCACAGAAGACAGTCAGGGGTGCCCACATCGAGGGGGAAGGGTGCATTATGGCATCTTCACCCTAGACACTGGATGACCTTCACCTGGCATGGCACACCATGCTTGTTGACACCGCTCGTCTGCCATTCATATTATAAAAATCTTAGATTGTAAGCTCTAAGGAGCAGGGCCCTCCTAACCCTCTTGTATTGAACTGTGTCGTTCTTGTATTGTCTCCCTTTATATTGTAAAGTTCTGAGCAAACTGTTGGCCCTATATAAATCCTGTATAATGATAATAATAATAATAAAACAATAATTAAATGAACACTGAATGACATGCTACTCTGATATGTGATTAGCAGATTGCCTTTTTCAACCAGATAACATGCAACATTGCCATTTGTATTGCCGTCCTTAAATACGAAATTAAAGAATTAAAAAAAAAAACCCATAAAGATAAACCAACGCTTGCAAAAGTGGGAAAGCAAAATAAAAAGTTATATTAAACATAGCAAAAACAACTCACATTTTGTGCTTGCTGAAAATACACCCTTTGTTCCCCTTTTCATATGGACTGCTTCTATGCTCACCCCACAACTCTCGCTGCCTTCTGTGTCACTGCACTCCCTGTTTTCCATTGTTTTCACTTATTTTTCCTCTTCCATGTACTTTTATAATAAAAAAGGGGGTTTAGGGGTGCCCTCAGGTGAAGGGTCACTGCCAATTATAATTACACCAGTGCCACATCCTAATTTTGATTAGTCAGAAGAAACAGAAATACTACAAACGGACTTTATAGACACAAAAACTAGGTACACGTATAAATAAAATCAATATCACTTTATTTGACATCATGTCACATATAGACCATGGTATTAAAAACCTATGGTCTATAGGGATTGGCCCCAATTCTACAGCGTCCGAATGTCCCTCATCCCCCTCATAGGATCATCCTGGTGGTCTTTTCCATACATCTTCACTAGTTGTGCTCCTGTACATGGTGGGCTCTGGGACATTCGTTGCGGGGATATTACCAAATAGGTTTTTAATACCATGGTCTACATGTGACATAATGTCAAATAAAGTGATATTGATTTTATTTATACGTGTACCTAGTTTTTGTGCCTATATAGTCTGTTTGTAGTATTTCTGTTTCTTCTGACTACTTTTATAATAAGACATTTTATTATCACTGAAATGTAACACTATACCAAATAGCATGTAAACCCATTAGTATTCTAAATAATTCCCATTAATTACAATATACTACTGTGGAGTATACCTGTATTCACAAAGCAACAAATGATGTTGGACAATCGTTAACTTCTTTCTCATAGTTACCAAATGGCCATTGGTAAAGCGCATTCACCTGTTAGAGTCACATTCCCTGCCATTCACCTAACATTTTCAAATTTAAGTTACAGTAACATTCTTATCCCTTATACAGGCAATTTCCCAGGAAATCACTGCTGAAAATTCCCTATAAAGACTTGCTCCTGCTCTGTTATCTAAGTCTATATTTGCCACGTGTTTGATGCACTGCAAATGAGGATTTTACCCTCAACTAATGTACATATGCCATCATTAGCAGACACAAAATATTCTGACTGCCATGAATAACAGAGGAGGAATAGGAGTGAGTGAAGGTGAACCTAGCCATTATAAATAGTTATGCCCCTATATATAATTTCTGTATAATGGCCCTTTTACCTTTAGCTCCAATGTGAGGCGCTGAGCAGCCAGCAGACCCCTTAGGCTGATTGTCGGTGCCGGCTTCTTCACATCCTTCGGTTTGGTTGACCCATCATTCTGTGAAGGCTTCACATTTACGATACCTTTTGAGGGCTGTGGATCTGCCGGCTTAAAGAGACACACCAGTCAGAAAGGGTTAAATCAGAACTCCTATAACAACAAGATAAAAACGAATTTCCCATTAAAATAAAATAACAAAACCAGCTTTCGCTTAGCTTCCATCCACAGATTTCCCCTGAAGTAGTGTATTCTTGCAACAAAATGTTCTCTGATGTCTGATGGTCAGCTTTATGCAACCCACCTCCTCTGAGCCTAGGTTGTCCCGGACCGGCCACAACCTGGAAGTGGACAGTGAAAGGAGAAGCAGCGCAGTGATGAGCCATCTCTCCGTCACTCTTCTTTCTCCTCCTCAACATACTTCTTGTTGGCAGTTGAAGTGATTGCTCTTTGTGTGCTGCTTCTTCCTCTCACAATTCAAGTTCTTTGTGTTTACAAAAAATTATTTAACCACTTCAATACTGGGCACTTTCACCCCCTGCCTGCGCAGGCCAATTTTCAGCTTGCAGTGCTGTCGCACTTTGAATGACAATTGCGTGGTCATGCAACACTGTACCCAAATGAAATGTTTATCATTTTTTTTCACACAAATAGAGCTTTCTTTTGGTGGTATTTAATCTTCACTGGGGTTTTTTAATTATTTTCTAAATAAATGAAAAATGACCAAAAATTTTGAAAAAAAAAATGTTTTCTTTATTTCTGTTATAAAATTTTACAAATAAGTAATTTTTCTTCTTCACTGATGTGTGTGCTGATGAGGTTAATGATGGGCACTGATAGGCTGTGCTAATGGGCACTGATAGGCTGTGCTGATGGACACTTATGAGGCTGCACTGATGGTTACTGATGGCCACTGATGAAGAGGTACTGATGAGGCTGCACTGATAAGGCAGCACTGATGATCACTGACATGCTGCACACTGATGGGGTTGCACTGATATGCCACACTGATGGGCATTGATATGCTGCACTGATGGGGCGGCACTGATGGGCACTGATATGCTGCACTGATAATCAGTGCCCTAATTATCAGTGTAAATGTCACCTGTCACAGGAAAGCCGGTTATGGACTTCCTTTCCGCAGTGACAGTGCTGAGGAGAGGAAATGCCGATAACCGGCATTTGTTTACATGTGATCAGCTGTGATTGGACACAGCTAATGTAATGGTAAACAGCCAACATCATTGGCTCTTTACCCTGATTGGTGATGCGCTGTGTCCAAGGGACAGTGTATGCTGTGACTATAGATGTCCATTGTGTTGGGCAGGTTTTGCATTAGGGTTAATTTTAAAGCAGGAGTAACTCCAACATATGAAAAAGTATGCAACACACCTGGAAGTTTTGGACACCAACAGTATTTGTAGTTCTTCAAGAGAGCTAAGATTTTCCTCACTGTCCACTGGAATGGTAACTGATAACTGAGCACGCTACATATCTTTCATCCTTTTATAGTAGCAACAGGGATGCTTTAAGGGGTAGGTTGAGAGAGAGGGATAGGGTGTAAGGGAGAGGATGAGTGTTAGGCATTGGTGCTAGTTGGCGGGACAATATAATGAAAACCAACTGTTACTTAATGTTTCATCCAGATCTCCCAGATGTTTCATCCAGATTCTCCCAGATGTTTCATCCAGATCTCCCAGATGGTTCACCAGTTCTCACAGATGTTTCACCCAGGTCTCCCAATGTTTCATCCAGATCTCCCAGATGTTTCACCCAGGTCTCCCAGATGGTTCACCCCAGGTCTCCCAAATGTTTCATCCAGATCTACCAGATGGTTCACCAGATCTCCCAGATGGTTCATTCAAGTCTCCCAGATGTTTCACCCAGGTCTCCCAGATGTTTCACCCAGGTCTCCCAGATGTTTCACCCAGATCCCCCAGATGTTTCATCCAGATCTCCCAGATGGTTCACCAGATCTCCCAGATGGTTCACCAGATCTCCCAGATGGTTCATCCAGGTCTCCCAGATGTTTCATCCAGGTCTCCCAGATGTTTCACTTAGGTCTCCCAAATGTTTCATCCAGATCTCCCAGATGTTTCACCACAGATCTCCCAGATGGTTCATCCAGGTCTCCCAGATGTTTCACCCAGGTCTCCCAGATGTTTCATCCAGATCTCCCAGATGTTTCACCCAGATGCATCTTACCTTTAACTCCTGCACACCTGTATACAGTGTAGTAACCTGAGACTGATTTGTGATCTTACCTCTTTTACAGTTGCAGGATCTACATCTTTATTTGTTGCTCTAAAAGTGACCTTAGATAACTTCACTGCTCCGAGTTTCTTGCTTAGATTCATGGCCTCCATCCCTCTGGATGGTCTCTAAATAAAAAAAAAGTTACAATTTTAGATGTTAATCTTCAAAATATTGGATACTTTGGGGAAAATTTACTAAAACTGGTGCACACAGAATCTGGGTCAGCTGTGCACAGTAACCAATTAGCTTGAACTTCAGCTTGTTCAATTAAGCTTTGACAAAAAAAAAGTTGATTGATTACTATGCACAGCTGCACCAGATTCTGTATGCACCAGTTTTAGTAAACCACCCCCCAGACCCCCCTTTGTGTCTTGCTGGGTTAAAAGTTATTTTTGGAGGGACACTAATAAAAATAGAGACCCACTAGTCCATAGTTTATTCATAAAATGAGTATAGTTACTGCCAGACACAGGCTTAGCCCCAATGCGTTTCACCCATAGTTGGGCTTAATTTTTTCCTCTATGACTAAGTCCAACAATGGGTAAAATGCTTCAAGGATGAAACCCGTATCTTCCTGCTTTGTGCCTTTGGAGAGACACTAATTGCAAGAGGACCATAAACTTCTCATCAGTATAAACAAATCTGCCTGCCTATGGTGTCCCTCCTCTCTGGTACAGAATTCAAAAACCTGTTCACCTCGGATAGGATTTGTCAAGAGGAAGGAGTGAAGGAGGCTGCCACAGGTTGTAACACTTTCACCGAAGAGGTGTCACTGCCAGATTGATGTCACTGGTTTATACATTTACAAAAGTTATTGAACTTTGTTTCTTTTACACTAACTATTTATTGGCACTCAGCACTTTTTGTTTATGTTGGTTTCTATTGATATATATATATATGCAACCAGGGCTGCTGTTAGAAACCACGGGGCCCCATACAGCCAACCTGACAGGTCCCCTCCCCCCAAAGAGAAAACACAGTTTACTATGCTTCAGTTGTGAATGAACACAGTGATTAGTACCGATCACTCATTGTGTTCATTCAGGAAAGGAAGGGGCTGGTAAATGTGACATATTTACAGGATCCTTCCCCCTCTCTCCATCATGAAGAATCCTATTGTGTGCTTGCAGTTGCCAGTGGGAAGGAAAGGAGGGAAGCCAGCAGCACTCTGGGAGTGGGGAGTGGGGGCACACGGGGGGGGGGGTCTGGGCAGGCAGCAGGGGGAAATGTATGGTGCACAGGGAGGGTGATGGGTGGTATTGGGGGGGGGGGAAATTACTGGAAGTCATCCCCTGTATGGCTCTCTCTATTAAAAGCCAGTGGGACAGAAAGGAGAAGAAGCCAGCTTTCAGCTGCTGCAGAGGGAGCCATAAAGGGGATTGATTCCAGTAATTGCCCCTCCCACCCACCCACAGTGCAGAACATGCTCCTCGCCCACATCCGATTCACCCAGTTGCCTGGGGCCCCTGTTGGCCTGGGAACGTATAGGAGGACTGGTGGTACCCCTTTATCCATAGCTCTGTATGCAACATTGTTAGCACTGAATGCCATATGGCCTTATAATGTTTATTATGAATATACTCTTCACATGAATTTTGTAATAGGAATTGTTACTTTTATTTTCAGAGGTTTATAGCGCTGCACAGTCTTATTTATTTAACAAGATCAGATACTGATAAGCTCTTGTCTGACCCTTCCTCTGCCGTTCCAAAGGTACACTGAACCAGCAATTTATGTCTAACTGTGAACCAATAATATATGTCTTAATGGTTAGTTATACAGTATATGAGCTAAATATATAACTAGTGGGACATGAGTTGGCAGAAGACAAAGGGAAAGGGAGGCAGATAGTCAAGATTGAGACTTTCCTCCCAGTAAATAAGGACACCTTTCCTTCCACTGATGATCTGGTGCCCTTTGCACAAAAACCACATTTAAGTAGGAATTATAAGCCCTTCAAGAGTTCTCTAACTTTGCGACTATCCATGAGTCAGCAGCATTGCAGGAAAAATAAAATACGATATAAAAAGTCAGAGCCCCCTCTTTGACTGTGATCATTGTTTCTACACATATTTAATGTCATTTGGCTATAGTGCTGTCTGGCATGAACATGTCTCCATGTTGTGCCTGCAAGCACCATTGCCCACTTTGGCTATGTTCCCTACCATATCTCAACATTTACTGCCCCTCCCATGAATTGGGGTATCCCCCTCACTCTTCACCAATACTTACTAAAACTACTACATGTATTTAAATTTGAGTGAGTTGAGGCTGCGCTGCAAAAGTAATCTTTTAGAAAAAAAATTTCTTTGAGATGTAGAAGAGCTTCATAAATGATTCTGTAGGCATGTAACAACTACATCAATGCTTTAAATCAGAGGTCTCCAAGCGTTCTAAACATAGAGCCAGTTTACTGTCCTTCAAATTTAAAGAGGGGTCGGACTATAGCAATCGGGAGTAGAAAAAGGTCCCGACATCAGTGAGACTAAACAATTTTTGGTGTCAGTGGAAGGAATAGTGCCCCGTCATTGGTGTCAATAAGAGGAATTGTGCTCCATCATTAGTGTTAGTGAGAGGAATTCTGCCCCATTATTGGTGCCATTGGACCCCATTATTGGTGTCTTTAGAAGAAATTGTGACCCATTGTTAGTGTCATTGGGAGGAATTTGGCCCCTTTATTGGTGTTAATGGGGAGACTATTGGCCCATTATTGGGATCAGTGGATGAAAATAGTGCCCCCAGGGCCGGATAAAGGCAAGAAAAAGACCACATCAGGCCCAAGGACCACAGTTTGGAGACCACCGATTTAAATCAAACACAAAGTATTTAGAAAGACCTTGCAATAGAGATTCTCAACCTCTTACTAACATCTTGCCACACTATTGGTGCTCCTCCAAGATTTGTATTGTGGGAACTGGCACACCATCTCTGCATTCACCATGTCCTATTTGGATTTATGGCTCAACAGGCTTGATGTGAATAATGTTTTTGTTCGTTGCTGTTTTTTTTATTTTTTTTTTTTCCATTTATTTCTCTGTTCAACAATTCTGTTGCTGGCCCAGAAAATCTTACATACGGACTCTATATCTTCAGTTATCAAACAATATACACTGCAGTTGTTCAATATGCCTTAAAATCTATTATCTGTTGTCTCCGTTAATTTAAACCCTTTTGAGCCCTTCTCTGTATATTTTTTACATCCCAATAAATATATTTCTTAAAAAAATATGGAAAATTACCATTATTGACCGTATATCATCAACTGCCAAACTATATACAATGCCGTTGTTCAATATACCTTAAAAGCCTTTATCTGTTGTCTCCATTTGTTTTAAACCCCTTTGAGCCACTGTCTGTATATTTATTATAGCACATTAAATCTTTTTTTTTAAATGCTTCCCACCAACCTATAGTGTAGTAGCACTTTCCACAAATTCAGGAACACTCTGGACCAGGGGCAGACTGACAACTCATGGGGCCCCCAGGCAATAGGGGATCATGGGGCCCCTGTGTCCTTGCCCAAACTCAAAAAAGCCTATGAAAAAGGTACCAGGGGCATCTTATGGGGCCCCCTACTGACCCCAGGCCCTCGGGCAGTGCCCGAGTTTCCAAATGGTCAGTCCGCCCCTGCTCTGGACTCGGACTTCTGAAGGAAGCAACTGATTTATTAAAAACAGCGCTGTTTTGACTCGGCTTGATGGCTTGTGCCCTCTTCTGCCAAGTGAGTTATAGAAAACTTCTTACAAGCGTATATACCAACGATTACGTCACAAGGCATACATTCCTTTCCTACTTTCTATACACTCAAAAGGATTCCTAAAATCTGTAGAATAACATTGGCCAGCAGCTACAGATAAGAAATACCAGCTACCGACCCTTACACAGGAAATAAGGGAGGGGGGAAGATGAACCAAAAACCTTGTTTCTACAAACGTAGGCTGCTAGAAGTGTTAAAGTTTAAAGGGGAACACTACAACATCTGGGTCCTACCATAATAGTAGAACTACTGCTAAAGGGCAGCAGGGCTGTGCAAAATCATGTATATACATGTGATTTACATTTCCAGGTAGGGGGCGTGCATGTGCCGCCCTACCCGTGTTGCCATTGGCGGCTAGGCATGTCAATTACAGGCCAGAGATTCCCCGCTGGCACCCAGCAATCGCCGAGTAACACTGACAGGGTAGAGACCTGTGTGTAAACAACACAAGTCTCTCTCCTGCCAGCAAGCACATGCTGCTGTGTATTTCTCTGCACAGTACAGAAATACACAGCAGCATGTTTCCATAGTAAAACACACACAGAACATGATGTAAAACACAGCACAGAACACAGTTAGCCCTTTGATCGCCCCAGATGTTAACCCTTTCCTGCCCATTGTCATTAATACAGTGATCAGTGCTATTAAAAAGCACTGACACTTTACTAGTGTCATTGTGATGTCAGTAGCAGTTAATCCCCACCCAGTGTCTGAATGCCCACCACAGTCCCGCTATAAGTTGCTGATCGCCGCCATTACTAGTTTAAAAAAAAAATTTGAGTATGTATACCGCCATTTGTAGGCACTATAACTTTCATGTAAACCAATTAATTTACACGTATTTAGATTTTTTTTAGGAGAGACATGTAGCAGAATACATTTTGGCCTAAAAATATGAAGAAATTAGATTTTTTTAAATGTTTCCTAGTAAAACACACACAGCATGTGATGGAAAACACAACACACAGTTGATCGCCCCAGATATATTTTATAGCAAAAAGTCAAAAATATTGTTTTTTTTTTTTAAAAATTGTCAGTCTTTTTTTGTTTATACCACAAAATATAAAAAACACGCATGTGCTCAAATACCACAGAAAGAAAACTCTATTTGTGGGGGAAAATAGGACATAAATTTCATGCATGACCGCGCAATTGTCAGTTAAAATAATGCAGCGCCATATCGCAAAAAATGGCCTGGTCAGGAAGGGGGGTAAATCCTCTGGAGGGCAAGTGGTTAATATTGGGAAATTACCTTTTCGTTTACTTTGATTTTGTAAAGCTAATATGAGCTGTTAGCGAGTAGGTTTACATAAAATGACACAGCTTGATGGATCAGGCTCTATATCTTGCTCCTTTTCTTTCCTAAACCTCAAAAGATTTGATCCTTTTAGATTTCATGTCATTTTTCACCGAGTATGTTGTTCTTGTTATATTCTCTGAAAATGTTGACACTCTTATAAGGCTTGTAGGACTTACCGCAAAATCCAACCTGCGTGTGTTTCCTAATCAGTGTCCTTAGCAGAAGCAGACGTTCTCCCTGAGCCTGTGGAGCTGCGGACTGTGTGGAAGCTCAGACAGGACACCTCTAGTATTAGTGTATAAAGCTCCATGGAGTGTTTACATACAGGTTTCCAACGCACTGACTCTCCATCAATTACACTTCATTTTGTTGACTTCGTTCTGCTGCTGGTTCTGCAAACATAACAACAGAGTAGGTGTGCCGTGAGCGCACAGAAAGGCCACGATTAATGCATTTCTTTAATTGGCAGCCAGTGACTGCTTAAAGAGGGTTCTGGTTTCCTGGGTCCATTCCAGGTAGTTACTATGAGAATTAAATCAGGAAGTTTATACTTGCCAAGAATGTTCTTCTCATATTGCTGAAAATGCAGGTTGTCATTCCTGTGATCAGACCTCAGCAATCTGCCAGATATTAGATTCACTTTAAAGTTGAACTGCAGGATAAGCAAATATTGTCTAAATACAAGAGGCGCATGAATTCTTGTGGTTTATGCATTTCTTCTAGATCTGTGTAGTAATCCAGTGTGAAACTTCGCCCCTGTAGGGGATCTTCCTGTAATACAGACTGGTCACTGCTGCTGCTGCTCTCCTTGTGCAGAGAGACTGGTCCTGTCGCCGCCCCTTCCTGTTATTTTCTGCAGGCAGCCTGCTGTGGGTGGGGCCTGATGGGTCCCTCCCATAGCTCTGCTCTCTGCACAGGCTATGCTCAGCACAGTGATGATGTCACTGTTGCTTTTACAAGGTAATCGCTGGGTTTGAAATCGCATTTATATCCATTGTGGCTATTGATGACTACATTTAAAGTAAACGTGAACACACTGCAACACAAGCCAATGAAATTACAGCAAACACCGTTTCTAAGTGTAAATGCAATTTCATTAGTAAAAAATTGTTTTTTTAATTATTTATTTGGCGATCACATGACTGTGCAGCCTCCCTGCACTCGTTTTTCCCCATGGGAGTGTATATCTAAAGTAAGTGGACTGACATCTTTGGGTATGTACTTTTCTCGTCTGTGGATTGCTGAAAATGCAGGTTGTCATTCCTGTGATCAGACCTCAGCAATCTGCCAGATATTAGATTCACTTTAAAGCTGAACTGCAGGATAAGCAAATATTGTCTAAATACAAGAGGCGCATGAATTCTTGTGGTTTATGCATTTCTTCTAGATCTGTGTAGTAATCCATTGTGAAACTTTGCCCCTGTAGGGGATCTTCCTGTAATACAGACTGGTCACTGCTGCTGCTCTCCTTGTGCAGAGTGACTGGTCCTGTCGCCGCCCCTTCCTGTTATTTTCAGCAGGCAGCCTGTTGTGGGTGGGGCCTGATGGGTCCCTCCCATAGCTTTGCTCTCTGCACAGGCTATGCTCAGCACAGTGATGATGTCACTGTTGCTTTTACAAGGTAATCGCTGGGTTTGAAATTGCATTTATATCCATTGTGGCTATTGATGACTACATTTAAAGTACACGTGAACACAGTACAACACAAGCCAATCAAATTACAGCAAACACCGTTTTTAAGTGTAAACACAATTTCATTAGTAAAAAAAATCGTTATTTTACTATTTATTTGGCGATCACATGACTGTGCAGCCTCCCTGCACTTGTTTTTCCCATGGGTGTGTATGTGTAAAGTAAGCAGACTCACATCATTGGGTATGTACTTTTTTCGTCTGTGTATTTGGCTATGAGCAGGCTGACAGTGGGGCTTCTTTGGGGAGTTGCTGTCAATCAACTCAGTTGAACTATGCAGGAGGTGTGGTGGGTAAAATGACTGTGAAGATTCAGGGTTTCCTGTATGTTCAAGGAGAAAGAGCAGACATGTAAACTGACCATACCAGCACAGATCTGCTTTCATGCTTGGTGTGGTCAGAATAAAATAGATACAAAGTGGAAATGGGAGGATCACCAGGTATTTAAGAGCAAATAAAGAACTTCTTCTGCCCCCATGAAAAATGCCACCCTAGGCAAGTGGCTTGTTTGCCTTGTGGTAAATATGCCCCTGATTTTACCGCATCCAAGTATGTGGTAAAATAACGCACATTTTTAAAAAACTGTTTGATTCACAAAGAAACGCTTCACCCGCACAGCGAATCCAGCATTGCCCAAGCCACCTGGGTGCCATACAGGGGCTCCCGCGCCACCATCTTGGTCCTCATCAGCTGGCTGCTTCTTCCAGATGTGGGTAGCCAGCTCCAGTGACACATCAGATGCACCCTCCTCCCCGACCTGCCCACTGGCCCCTGTGTGTGCTGATTCTGGAAATGTAAAAAAAAAATAGATAGAAATTTTTTTTAAACATTTCCAGCAATTATGCTTGGGGAGAGAGAGAGTGTTGAAACCATTGGCCCCCGTTACTGTCAATCACAACCAGTGAGACAATAAGGAGAGAGCCGAGCCACACTTTGTGTGTGAATGGGCACAAAGAGCAGCGGCTCAGGAGTGAGCCTACTCAGGTGACCCCCATAGCAAGCTGCTTGCTATGGGGGCACTAGGCAGTAGGGAAGAGCCTGGAGCACCAGCAGGGGACCCAAGAAGAAGAGGACTGGGGCTGCTCTGTGCAAAAATATTGCACACCATTGCACAGAGTAGGTAAGTATGACATATTTGTTAAAAAAACCCACACAAACAAAAAAAACCTGAACCTTTAATATCATTTTAAGTTTCTCTTTAAGCAATGGCAGCTCCCATATTTATTTTTCACAGGTTCCCTTTAAATTTAGAGGACAAGACCTACCTGCTGCATGTTTCCAATCTTCATATTGACCTTCAATTTGCACAGTTGTCTACCTGTCATCAAAATCATACTCACCTAGACGGCTGCCGCACTGATCCCAGCTGCAGCTGTCCCCTGTCAACTCTAACCCAAGAACTGGACAATCATACAGTGTCAGTCACTGGGTCCCTGCTCAGCACTTCCAGTGCTCACTGTAGCGCTGAGCTGTAGAAGGGGCAGATGGGGCAGACGGGGCTGGCTCAGGCTCTAAGGCTGGCCATACATTATACAATTATCTGGAGATTTTTGGTTTAGATTTACCAAAAAAACCATATAATAGGAGGACAAACCTAAACAACACTTTCAGTTGTATCCAATTAGGCAGGCCCTTGCACTACACAGTTGAAGGTAAATCTAAAGGAAATTGGGCAGAAAATTGGAAGATAATTGTATAATGTATGGCCACAGAATGCTGGTCCAGGCATCTGAGTGGATGCTGATTGTAAAGTTGGAATCTTTGCAGAGTCTGGACCAGCTGAATGACATCAGCTGACAGCAGGCTTTAGCCCATTGTTGGCTGAAAACTGGTTACAGGAGTGCAAAGTGAACTGCACTCCTGTTTTACATAGGAAAAGTAC